ATTTGCAACAGCACTTCTGTGAATAAAGCAAAATACTTTGAAAAGGTTATGCTTTCTCCAGCTTAACCTTCACAAGACTCAGAGACTAATATAGATTTTTTCAAAATCCCATGCTTAAATGCTTAAGAATGGGCTTTACTGTTTTTTTTACATAACAGTTTTCATCTGTAAATAAGGTCACAATGTTCTTAACATACTAAAAATTAAGCAACTCTTTAACAGTAGCTATAGAAACGAAGGAGAGGAAATTTAGTTATAATCCATGATGCTGCCAATCATACGTATAGGTTTAACTTAAACAGATTTAGCTTAAACTTAACTTTGATTTGAACTGTAATAGATTTAAAAGGTAAAGTAAGTTAAATAAATTTAGCTGCTGAAATGCTTTCAAGCTGAGGCAAGTTTTTTGTGTGTTTTTCCTTCTAAAAGAATTCAGACCAGCTTACTAGTATTAAAAATATCAAACTCTTATTAACTTGTATGGTAATTTTTGTTCAGAGTAAAAAAAAACTTTTCAGACCAGTTTTTCACTAAGCTTCAGGCTTTTGCCTCCCACCCTTAAATTGAGTGATTTAAATTGTCCTGAACTCCCATCCTGCAAAATCTGATTCAAGGTGGTATAAGGAAGTAAGAAGGGAGGTATTGTTTCATGCTTCTTAGGAACTGCAGTATTTGTGAATAAATAACTGATTGTTGGGGAGTTTTCTTCCATGCTAAACTTATGCTTGATTTTAGAATTGCCCTCTGTGTTGATGGTCGAAATAGATTTTGTGCTAATAGCCACAATCTGTTGGGAGAAGAAGCTATTAAACAGAGACATCTTCAGTTACTTGGTTATGAAGTTGTGCAGGTAAAGTCCAAAGACAGTAATTTGCTTTTGCTCTGGCTATATAAACATGTAAAAAATTATTTTACAATGCTTAGAACTAAAGTAATTTGTAAGGCAGATGTAGTTTTGTCCTTGCTATATTATGTTCTCCCTGCCTAGCTTTTGCCTCTTTGAGGGCATACGGGAAGTCCATTTTGTTCCTTGGATCAGTTAGTGTATTCTGTCTGTGTTTTCTGCTAAATAGTGGCTGCTTGAAAGATTACATCTCTGCAGTGATTAATTCAAGTTCTTGACTTACAGGCAAATCTTGTGTAAGAGTTCTGTTAAATTGGCATTTTTAATTAAATTCTTGTTTAAAATGTTTAAATTTGGACTTTAAAAAGAGGAGTTAAAAAAAAAACCAAACTGATTTGTATTGTAAATAAAATGTTCACAGCAAGCATATCTTTATTTTGCCTGTTGAATTAAATAGGAGTATTTTTACCTTTAAACATACTTTTAGTTTGTCAAGATTTTATTTTCCTTTTATAATCACTTATTACATAAGACTGACTTCATAATATTTAACTTAGTTTATGGATATCACTCTGTCTTACAATAATCTCTTTTCAGGTGATTTACAGATTTACATACGCTTAAGATTAAATGTTTCATTTTAAAGCAGAAAAATCTTGGATGTGTAATTTTTCATCTGCTTAATGAACATCTATCTTACCCAGTTGTTTATTAAAAGGTATTTCCAGCAATCATTTTTGTTTTGTTTCCAGATTCCATTTTTTGAGATAGAAAGTCTAGAAAACTGCAGGAAAATGGCAGAATATCTACACAAAAAAATCTTTCCTCATACATATGGACTCAGAAACTGACACTGTAGAATGCCACTAAATCACAGGTTTACCTCCTGTACTACAGAGTGTAAATACTGTGCACGGAAGAAAACTGGTGTTTCCTAAATAACTGCAACTCAGATAGTTTCAGCTTCTGGACTTGAAACCTTCCAATATTTGGAACAATTGACATGTAAAGAGTAATAAAGAGCGTCATATTTTTTTAAGTTTTGTGTGAGTATTTATTATACGTTGACAGATGTGAGTGCCAGATAGTCACTGCTGCTTTTCCCTTGTATTTACTCATTCTAATTCACAGCTGCAAACAGACACGTGACCATTCAAGGATAATGGCCAGTCTGAATGTAGAGAATATGCCATGCTACCTACTAATTGGGGCTTTCTTCACAGTACAAGACATTGTGCAGTTTACTTATAGCTTGTGTAATTTCCCAAGTCTTTCATAAAGCTAAAATTTGCAGTAGTTGCAGAAGCAGTATTGGCTTATTGCTCTTAACAGGTGTAGAATGCTGTTCAATAAGTAGCAATGCCTTACAGAAAATGAGAGCGCTTTTAATAAAAAAAGATTTGCTTTACTTTGTAAAGTAACAGCTGCCACAGGATAATGGACTTGCACAACTGTCTCTGTGGAGGCCCCCAGTGTTCTGGATATATTCCATTTGTAGTTCTGTCTTTGGTGGCAGTTGTAGCTAAACTGTCTAAATAGGGTCACATATGCCCTCCAGAGTTCCTTCAGTTTGCAGAAACTCTACACTCAGAAGCTCAGAAGAACTATGTCCTATGGCAGTCCTTTTTTATGTATGAATAGAAATACTGGAACTGAGAAACCAGAACCAATACCCACTTCATCCGGAACAAGTGTGCCCCAACTTGGGTTAATGTGTTGCTTTGCAGATGGATGAAGGGAAAACAACACAGCATTAGTTTTGATCATATAATGTATACTTGATGAACTGTCACATAAAACATATTTTCAGCTTAGCTTATTATTTATAAATTTCAAAGCAGAATTCCCAGCATCACCTAGTTTGATTTTTAGCTGTTATGTTTTGATACAATAAAGGCAAAATTTTAAAACATTGATATTATGTGTATTTTACCAATAGATACAGAGCGTGGCCTTTTTTTCCTTCTGAGGCTACTGTGAATAAATTGTGAGTTGCATGTGTGAATTGTCCCAACAATCCCTGGAGATTACCAGATGCAAAATCGAGATCCAGAATGTGATTTCCATTGTGTCATGCTGTGCATTCTGTTAATGATAATTTGTTGCATGTATAAAACCCTTACAGTAGGATATCAATGCCGACAGCTGAGGGAGCACCAATAGGTAATGAAATGTTTTCCAACAGTGTAACAATAAGCTCAGAACATCAGTACTCTAACAGTTTGTCATCCTAGCAAGAGAGAAATTGAAAGAAAATAGAGGAAATGGTTTTTCACATATTTATAAGGAACTTATCCTTAATAGAGAAGAATTTGTCAATGTATTCTTTTGACAGTGAGCACTGAAGGGAGAAGTCAACCACTCAGAACTGAATGAGAAACAAGTAGTCAGAGGAACAACCTCTGAAAGACCTTCAAAAGTGAGGAAGGATGAGAAGGGAGTGACGTAAGCAAAGAGATGGGATAACTCAGGTGTTTTTTGATGACTCGATTTTCTCTGTGGTGGGTGAAGTGGTGGTGCTTATTTATCACATAGGCCAGAAGGTGGTGTTGTTCTCAAACAAATTTGATTTCCAATAGTTTTTCAAACACAGATGGTATGTAAATATAGTACGGCTACTTATAAGAAGTAATTTGTACTGACTGTCCCAAACTAAAAATAACCTGCCAAGAATGTGGCCATATTCCTTCTCATTATTTACTGGTATGCATTTGATACTGATTTTTGAAAAAACATTCTAGTATTAGAAAATACTTCCTTCTGACTGTTCTTACTGTAATTCCTTTCATTTAATGCTGCTGGACTTTTTTAATGAAATATTTACTGTTGAATATAGCAGTTTATGTCCTTTTGTCCCTAGCCCATTGAGTATAGAGGAGCTTGCAGTTAATGAATAACAAAACTCACAAACAGCTCTCTGAATGCGCTGCTCTATGTGCTCTGCTTCTCACACCATGCCAAACAAGTACTATTGACTGCCTAATTTATTACTTATCAGGCCCCACATTAGGAAGTTTGTTGCTTCTGTTGTTTTTTCACTAGGAGTCTTGCTGTGTTCAAAAATGCCATAGGCTTCCTGTGTGTGACTGACAAAACTAGTGTCAGTCAAAGCTGTGGACTTCTAGTCCTTATTTTGGCATGATCAGCCTGGCTGTTGTTCCTTTCTGAACAGTATACCTCAGCTTTAAACAACAGCAGGATCAACGGCTCTTGAGAACCAAACTGATGCATACCCTGCAGGAAAAACTCCTCCCAAAATTACCTTACAACTTTTGTACTGGATTCAGTGAGAATACAAGGTGTTAAGTATTTAAGCAGGTTTAGGCATTTGCTCTATTTAGTGCTTGTTCTGCTAGTATTACTTTTTTTTTTCTTTTTTTTCAGCATTGGATACAGAACTAATGATGGTTTTTCTTGTCAGATCAATCTGTCATACACCCTTCGTATAGTGAAAGTCAGTGAAATGAATGTCTGAAATCAGCTAAACCCATATTTTGTCTATTCAGATGGTACGTGCTCAGAAGTTCCTTTTAACTTGACTTCCCCTTGAAGCCTACTGGAACTGCTAAGCACTTCTGGAAGTCAGATCATTTCTTTATTTGCCCATTTATGGGTAAGCCCATCCATTTTAGAAAATTCTGAGGTTTATCTCCATTTCAGCTGTTGTGCAGATGAAATGATGCCTCATGATTCTGTAGCAACATCGTAAGAAGTTCATGACCTCTGATACCTTGAGGAACAAGCTTGATTAACTGTTAGTCTGTGAATAGTTATGTAGAAGCAGTGCCTAGAATTGCAGAATCAGCTTTTGACCCAACAAGTCTCTGTTGCAGTTTTACTCCCTAAAACGTTCAGCTCTTGTTGGTGCTGCTCTTCATGAGGTTTTTATGAGAATGTAAGGAGATGACATGCATTTTAATTAGCTTGAGGAGAATTACAGCTGCTCTTTCATCCTATTTTTAACTCAGATCATTTTCATTAACTAAAATACAGAGGAAAAGGCAAAAGCACCATATTGCTTTTTGTTGTGTGTTTTTTTTTTCCTACATAAATGTCGCTGGCAATGACAGATGCAAGAGATTTAACATGGATCCAGTCTTGGAGATTTTTCCAATTAGCGGGTGCTGCGCTTTTCCCCGTATAATGCTGCATGGAGGTGATTAGCCCTTGCATGTTCTTTGCTTGGCTGCTCTAGGGGCTTGTTTACACGTTTCCCATACTCTGAAGATGACAACACAGGAACAGGTCTTGCCATTTCCTGTGAAAATATAAAAGTCATCTTATAAGAAAATCACTGAATAGAAAACCTGGCAGTTTTCTAGTGCTAAATGTGCTGTGGCCAGGGTCAAAATAACTGACTGTACAGCTATACTGATGTATATTTATTTAGCAGTAATCTGCGCCCTTACTGTTCTATGTCTGCCCTTGGTTTTTATGTATATGAATAAACCATTAGTGTATCACTAGATGACATGATAATAAGATATGAAGCTGTGGACTGATAACTTTTTACACACAAACATACACACGTGATTACCATCTGATTACTGGCAAATTAAATGCTATGTTACTGAAAAGCACAGATTTTTATTTTTCTTGCGCACTGAGTTGCATGATTCATTTGAAAAATGGGAGACATTTGTTGGGGGGGGGACAATTGGTGTCCCCTGTTACAGGAACACCAACCCTGCTTGCACAATTCAGTGAAAGCACAGCATGAGAAAAATCAAAGCCTAAAGAAAAACTGAGCAACCATTAGTCCATGCAAGCTTTCCCTGAAGGAAATAAAGCATATACTACTTAAATTCTGCACAATGAAAGGTTTTACTATAAATGCTTGTAGCTGTAATAACTGAAATAACTGCAATGATTGGAAGTAGACTTGATGACAAATAACCTAAAAGAAGACTATTTTAAGCTTGTTCTTAGTTGCACTTTAAGTGACTGTGGAATCACTGTCTCCAATCTGCAGTTCCTTCCTCTGCTACAGCAATGGAGAGCTATGGAGTCAGAAGGGAAAAACAGCATTTGTTTGGTTTTCTTTCTCTAGCCAAAGGTCTCGGGTTTATCAGGCTGCTTCTATGTTTGTGCACTGGCTAACACAGTAAGCCTTGGTACCCAATGTGTTTATCTAGTCTTGTAATATAAATAGTATCTAAAAGGAAACTCAAAATGCAGATGCCACACCACCATTCAAGTGCAAACAAATTACTTCTTTGCTACAAAAGACACAAGTCTGAGCCAAATCAGAACTTGGGTCCTGCTAAGATGCACGTGGGAGCACAGATTGGAGGGGTCTCAGCAAGGCAGTCAACTGAGAGACTTTTCTGACATTTCCAGACTCATGAACAGAACCTGAGATTCTTGCAAAGATGCTATTAGCCCTATGTGGGGACGGAGGAACACACACAACGACCTCGCAATCAATAAGCGTGTTCGATTTATTATCTATAAGGCAGTCATTTTATAACATGTGTAATAAGCTCATACATATTGCAGAACCTAAGCTCAGGATTGGTTGGCCCCCAATATTGCTTACATACTGCTGAAGTTATGTCTGGAGTTTTAGTCCCTTTATCTTAGTACCAAATTTCCTTTTTAGACTTTCGGTTTCCCTCCCTGCTACATTCTCTCTGCCACATTCCCGTATTTGCTACATTCTCTGTTACTTCGACAACTTCCAAGGACACCATCCTTCAATTCCTCTTCTCTGTTAACCATTTTTGAGCCACACTATCCAGAGACCCCCCCTCCACACCTCCCCCGTTGTCTTTTAACAAGTTGAGATAGGCATGGGGGAACATGGTATCGAGGGATCGAGCAATACAGCGCTGAACACAAGCAAAAATGCAGGGCAAAAAAAATAACAAAAGCAGAACAAAAAAAACAACTGGCAGTAGCTGTTTAAGGGCGTCCTTTAACCACCCAGCAGCCCTAATTTTTTTTTTTTTTAGCTCCTAAAGAAACCTCAAGAGAAAAGCCTATTACAAAACAACCATTCATCCCCCAGTTCTCCTACCCACCTTACTCTATCCTATTAAACACTGTTCAGTACACCAACTTTTAATCCCACCAGAACAAAAATTAAGTCAAAAAGAGCGGCAGGCAAAATTAAGACTGTTTTCTCCCCTGCCCTAGTTGAGGATAAATGTTGAAAAATGAGAAATGACAACGTTTTTGTACCATCGAAAAAGACTTTGCTAGCAATACAGGGTTTACAGCACTAATCACAGGCAAGCAGTATGTAATTCCAATAGTTTGTGTTCCTTTTAAACAAATAAGAATTTTTGGGCATCCTCAGTAGCACAGCACTGACTGTGCACACTGGGATTTCATCTTTGTGGGTCTGGCATTCAGCGGATTTCAGATTTTCCAACAGTTGGCTGGGAAGCATCCTGCTACATGCCTTCTCAACGTGTAACTCTAGCACTGCTAACACTTGAAATCAGCAATGGCAGCCTTGTGCAAATGCTCCGCTGCAGTTACTGTGCTGCATGTAGCTAACCCGGGTATCTGTGACTATGCTCTTGAATTCCCTGTGTGCACCAAGGCTCTGCAGGAAATGAGGGGCTTACATGCAGCAGTTTTTTATGCTTTTTTCCACTTCAAGTAAAGCAGTGTACTGTGGTGGATTCAGCCTTTCTGCTTTTAGTGTTGTACTAGAAAGATGTTGATTGTGGTATTTTTATTTACTGTATTTTATAATATAGTTTTTATATAAAGTCTGTGAGGACCACAATGATAATTAAAGAGAAGGAGTTGAGTGCGTGACCTGCACTTAGTTATGGTTACATCCAGTGTTGGGTGTCATGACGTACAGCAGGATCTTGTAGCAATTAACAGGTGTGGGTTTGATGTGTCTCCATGCTAATTAAAGGACTGGATTAAGGGACACCTGTTCAGACAGAATGCCTTGTGTGCACTGCCCAGCAGAGCTGGTATGGATTCTGGCCCATTCTATCTTTAGGAAGAAAACTGGTAGGAAAGTGAGTTTTGTTGACACAAGAACTCAGTATAGAATCTAAATTTTACATTACTAAACCTTCTACACAAACTTCCCAGTTGGAGGTTGGGCTTGGTAGTGAGTGAGGGAAGTTGTCTTTGTTTTGTCCAAAAAAAAAAAAAATTAATTTCTAATTGGAGTAGTCATTTATATGCCTTTTGACCTCACAGAGGTTACAGTTGACAAATTGGCCTCACACAGATTTACTAGGCATGAGCAGGTGATGGTAATGGGCACTCCTGGGATTCCTTTGGGAGCATCTAATACTTCCTGCGCTGTCTGATGGAGTGGAAGGGTATTATGGCTATGCACTTGAGCTGAAATGTCTGCTATGATGGCTTCTAGTGAGATAAATCACAACTAGTGGCCTTTGTCACAAAATAACAACAATTTTATAACACAACAATTAGAGTAATTTTAACTTTTGTCTTTCTTTTCCTTCTTCCCTATCATATATAATCATTAAGGTATCCAGCCATCCCTAGCCTACCCATCACTTTACATCCCATAAGCCCACTGGGATTATGAGGCCAACAGCACACAGAGGCTACACTTCATTTGGTTTTTGACAGCCTCTCTGTGTGTGTGTGTATGTTTATATAAATATAATTATATATATGAACACTTGTGTATGTAAGTGCATTATTCAGACACTACATGGAAAACTACCTATGTATATATTTATGTATATATATTATAGTATTTCTGGTTTACAGGCAGCTGTGTAAAACCATGGCTGTATTTAGCTATTGGGCTGCACATCAAACCAAGATTCCGCTGGCCTTGAATACTTTGCCAATCCTTTTCCAGGCATGTCCATGGTGTTCTGACTGACCACTCCTTTGCACTAGCTCCCTATGAATTTCCTTCCTGCATGGCAATCAGGTGTAAGTTTCCATAACAAACTCACCAGCTTCAGAAGCTTGGACGCTCGCAGCAAATGCTGGTGTAGGGAGGATGGGTGTCAGAGGACAGCAGTGAAATCAGGCCCTCTGAATGCAGTCCTCTTGGGGAGAAAAGTTTTCAAGCATCACAGGAATAGCTGCAGGAGCACCTGAACTACAACTCTTGGGAGGCACAGACATTCAGAATTCTCCCTGAACTCTGTAACAGATCTGCCTCTTTCCCCATGCTTTAACTTGCATATGTCTTGTCACCTGGAAATCTTCAGGATGCTAAAGAACAAGAGCTAATTTGGATGTCTTCATGGGCTAATGCTCTCTTCTAAACCTCCAGGCTGCGCACAATGACGTCCTCCTTCCAATTCCTTTCTTACCATATAGGCTGCACTACACAGGGTAAAACAATGCCTATAGCCTCCAACCACATTAAAAAAAAAAATCAACTTTAACAAAGATAATTACGAATTTATCAAAGGATTACCTCCTCATTAATGTTGAGACCATGACCTTTTGCATGTTTTCTGTCACAGCGGGAAAGATACTTGTTGTAACCTTCTGGTATTCTAAAAATGGTGTCATAGGTGAAAACACGTTCTGCCTTGAGAAAAGGGGAAAAAATGGCTAATTCACAGCATTGCTTAACTTTACAGATTACAGAATATATGTAGTGAAATCAATACTTAAATGGTGCACGTATTGTATTAGATGATGACAACAGTTATATTACTGAGCTTATTAGCAAGTTTCGGCCATTCCTTTATAATAGTTTGCAAAATTACCTAATGACACATGATACCTTTTTTTAAGTCTGGTCATCTCTGAAATTTCCCTTGTGGCAATTTACCTCAATTTCCACATTCCCCTTGTCCCCCCCCCCCACTTGCCCACCCTCACCCCGGTCTGTTGTAACTTTTGGAAATTTACCTGCTTTATTTGCTTTGATTTTCTAAACTTATTACTCTTCTTCTTAAGTTCATGTATTTGTTAAATGAACTGGCACAATTATGTAAAAGCAAAACAGGCAGTTTCTAAATTTATTTGGAATGAAAAAGACAAAAGTATCCTGCAGCCTAATCATAATTTAATTTCTGATTAAAGCAGAATTTACAACAGTTCTGAAACATGCCATAGTGGTAAATCTGTGATCCAGTGGTATGCATGACATAGATATGTCATACATGAAAATATAGCACACCCCAAACCAGAATATAATTGTATAACTGTTGATATAGGTGTATCCAAATAAGCAACATAAAAGATCTGATCTGCTAACAAAGGCATTTGTGAAATTCAATCAAGAAGTTGTCATGAATGGAATCAAAGGAATTTCAAAATCAAAAAGAGTTTTCAAGGAAAAATCAAAATCCCCTACTGAAATATGCTGTCATATGTAAATGAGCTTCATGAAAAGGTCCATATTCAGTTAAACATCAATCCCTCACTGTCTTTGTGCATGGCTGACTAAAAAAATGATTCATTTTGTTGGGCTTTTTTCCCCCCCTAACATAGTGTGTCCAATTTAACCTTTGAAAAATTCATTTATTTTGAGTGCTACAATTTACAGTGCAATCCTTCAAAAAGAGTCAAGTTAGGGCAAGTCAAGAAGTCTGTAATTGTTCCATTAAAAGAAAACCATAGTTAAGAGGACTAGTAAGACACCGCTGTAATCACAGGCTTATTTGTAAAGATACCTCCATTACTTGGTTCTGCCAAGAGGAGGGATTGTTTGGTATTTAACCTACCTATCCCTTAATTTCCCAGAAACCATCGAGCCTCAGAGCTTTTCAGTGATGCTCAAGAGCATCCTGCACCTGATGTGTCACCTTCATGATTATTACTATTTCTTGTTTCATAGAATCATAGAATCATAGAATAGATTGGGTTGGAAAAGACCTCCAAGATCATCAAGTCCAACCCCTGATCCAACTCCAATTACTATATC